TCAGTAAGAAATTTTGTTAGTGGTATAAAAAGATGAATAGTTTTTACCAATTTGAGCCATCCTTGATATGCTTGTCTATGTTTCAAAGAACGACTATATTGGGGAGCAGCTTAATTATAAGACACTGTGGACGTAAAATATGTATTAAAGTTGAAATGAATTATTCATCAGTGTCTTTGATGTTGTCCTAGCATTTGTTAGCATCATAGAATTGATAATTCTAGGTTTGTGTCTTAGGTCTTTGCAAATCTGCAGAACTTTATAGGCTGAAATGATACGTATTTACATTATGCATGTATATTCAGCCCTTCTCTGATGCGTGGTGCTGCCTGACATGCAACGAAGTTGGGAATAAATTCTAAGTCAGATCAAAACATGGTGTCAATCCATGAGGTTATTAACTGTCTTTGTCTGAGTAATGTCGAAATGTACAGATTTATTATTTTGATGGTGTCACTGTTCATATACGGATATATTACATGTCCTCGCTCAAACTTAATCTCAAAGATACAGTTGGATTCATTTTCCAAATCATCTATTTCATCTTGAGCTTATTGTCATTTCCCTCTTTCTATCTTAGTTTGATGAATTGGCTTAAAAAATTTCTAGTGTGAAGATTTACACTGTAAGATGACATCGACCAGCAAACTACAACCATTAAAGCTCATCATCTATGAAGCATCTATGGGGTTGTACACCAACAATACCTGTGCAACTAAGGATCATAGATATTGGATATTTTAACATTTTGTCTGGTTTTGTACAATTACTGACATGTTGTTAAGGTGGGAAATGTAGATGAATGATATTGGGTTGTTCCAGGATATGCTTAAGTAACTGTCAAATCCTGGCACATTTGTCATAGTTGGTAAAATGATATTCATTTATAATAAGTGCCGTTTTGTGTTGTCATTAAACTATTTTGTCTTAAAACTAGAAAGTAATTATTTCAATGTTCCATCTAATTATTCTACTCTGTTTATATCAATTCCAGTTAATAGATCGTGTATTCCTAAGCTTCAGGCATTAGATGTGATTCGAAAAAGGCAATTCAAATTCTCACTTATCAGATCTCATCAGAATAGTAGTTTATATTAAGACATTTTATTCGCTGATATGCGTCGTGTAATCAAATTATATTAGCCATATTTTCTAATGTAATGTAAAGTTCAAACTTTGATTGTTTCATTCATTATTTGTTTATCTATTTATTTGAACACATAAATATTGGTACAAAGGGGCACCAGATAAATATGCGCCACACAAATCTCCTTTGATTTGTTTGAGGGTTGTGATACTACCCGGGTGCCCAAACCAAAGCAAGTGGTTTTCTTTAGGGGGCCACACACAAAGCCTTTGACCTAAAGGTCTGATCCACAAAGCAGTGTGGCTCGTAAGGAGATGCAGTCTCATGGTGGCCGGTGACCAACGATTGATTCATACGCCATTTGTTCCCTTAGGATACTGGAGCCCATTTGCACCATTGATTTGGAATCGGAGTTTTCCAACTCCCCTAGGTGGACTTTCCGTGTTCACCAACCCGGTTAAGGCGCCAGACATTCGCTTTTTGTCCTCTCGATTTCGCAAACAACACCCGTGGTGCGAGAAGGCAGTGAGTATGACTTTTGTGTCAGTGGTTGTATGCTTGGCTATGTGAGAGCATTTGGATAGGGAGAGCTGACTCTCCGTCCTCTTGGCCGTACCAGGGCATTTGGGTGCCATTACTAAGTCCACAAAAATGTCATTTGTAGACATATGAAGCATACTACAATATACAATGTTTAAACATTGGTAAATAATAAACAATAGTTCATTTCTACTATTGTCATTCAAGCTGCATGTTGTGTGGATTTTTAACATAATTGTTAATGTAAACTTCAATCTTTTTGTTTCACTGTCTTATATGTTCCAAATTATTTTTCTTCCAAAAAAATGAAAATTTCTATAAAGGTTCAACAAAAACGTGAATTTAACGATGCGCTTTATAAATCCTCCTCACCCAAAATGGCCTGTGCAGATAAACATATACGATCACCATTACAAAGTCTTAATTCATCTATGGAAAAGTATAGTGATACAAATGATGACATTACTTCTTCTACCTCTAATGTTTCTTCTCCAAGACCTAGAAAAGTACTCAGTGGGTCGGAATGGTATGATGCTCAAGCCTATAGAGCATTAAATCAAGCATTAGGACGTTGTATTCGACATGCAAATGATTGGGGTTCTATAATATTGGCTGATGCACGTTTTGTGGAACAATCATCTCGTTATATGTGTGGTATAAGTCGTTGGATCCGGTCCAGGTAATTATTTCAATCTAAATTTTCTTCATTTTTATATTTATGTCATTTTACTGATTGAGCCAATGAAGACAAATTGAACGGCACATGAATGTATGACCATCACTCACCACGACTTTCTGTGCTCACACTGCAGAAGTAAGTCGGAAGAAACCATGGAGAGACCAAACAGACATTGGGTCAAACCATAAATTGTTGACTTATTTAAACTGAGAACTACCTAGTCTTAGGAGTGCAGAAGAACTGCTATTATTGTTTAGAGATGTTGGGTGACATAACACAGAATCAGTTACAATGATGAAACACGTGGACTCACTGTCTTTCTTCCACTCAATCTTAAATTTCAGCGTTCCTTCATATATATCTTTTCACTTCGTCTTTTAGAACCATATTTTCAGTACGTATGTTCATTTCGATATACAGATGAAGGAATAAGAATTAGGGAAGGCAGATGTATCTACTCAAAATACAACCCATTATAAGGGCTAGTATAGCTCATAATAGACGACAGTCAGTGCAACAAGGAGACAGCTATTGGATAAAATAATAACTGTACAGAAGTATACACAAAGGATATATGAGTGCAAAATTACAATGACACGAACATGAGATGTGTGTTTGTGAGGAAGGTCACATTTTCCTATAAAGTCGATAGAGTTACTGAGATGGTAAAATTGACTGACATGCTGTCTGAGTTGCTAAAGTCTGTTTAAAGCTAGGATAAATCACGCAAGCATGTAATAACATAAGTGCTACAAGTTTTTATTGGAATTTTTTTCAATCGCGAAGTGAAAACAGTTGGAAAACAATACAGTACTGTATAGTTGTTTCAAATTTGTCATTGCTGACCACCCATGAGACCTTCAAGTCTCAGAGCCTTAAACCAACTACTCGTTGATTAAGTGGTTCATGATGTTGTAGTGAACAGAACACGACTGGGGACAATCGAATGTATTTAAACAAAATTTACAGACTATCTCAGTAAATTCTGAAAACCATACAATAGACCGTCAATTTGTAAATTAACAACCAATAGTCTCGATCTTCACTGTTTCTTCTCTAATTCCATTGTTCGTGCATTTTCCTACCGATTGCGCTTCGTTTCAGTTCTTTCGTCATCGGTCTTCTGCCAAAATACATTCTATGTCTGACCAACACCATATACTACTTATATGGATATAGGTAGACCACACCACACTCGTCCCCCCTTTAAAGCATTCGTACATGCGGTGGTTCTGCTCGCCATGCCACTATCTTCTTTCACTGCAGTCTGTGCCAAACTCTCCGTCAGAATGTCGAGTCTGCGGCGCGCTGACCTCCATAGCTCCGTCTGTGGTGTGGTCTACTTATATCCATATAAGTAGTATATGGTGTTGGTCAGACATAGAATGTATTTTGGCAGAAGACTGATGAGAAAGAACTGAAATGAAGCGCAATCGTTTGGAAAATGCATGAGCAATGGAATTAGAGAAGAAACAGAGAAGATTGAAACAATTGGTTGTTAATTTGCAAATTGACTGTTCATTGTTTGATTATCAGAATTTACTGAGATAGTCTGTAATTTTTACTTAAATACATTCGATTGTCCCCAACTAGTGTTCTGTTCACTACACGTCGACCTGCCGGGGCACCAACAATGTTAATTTCGGTCAACTCGCAACAGGGAGCAACAAAGTCCGTGATACTTATTCTTATGATTTCTGTGGCTGAAACTCATCAGTTACAGAGTAAATTGGGTGAGAGGCGGTCAAACAAAAATGTGACGCCAGTCCTTGAAATCACTAAATGCTAAACTTAACAGTTTCATTGCATACTTTTCAACTGGGATTTGCATTAAAACTGTGATCAGTGGTTGTAAACATTGGAATGGCATGACTTAGAATCAGTTACAGTAGAGCAGATATGATTCGAAAAAAGAATGTGAAATTCACTTCAAAATCTGTATCACATGTCGACACAATAGCAGTTTATAATAAGACTATTCTTTGGCTGATATACGTCATGTAATTTAATCATGCTAGCCGTAGTTTTTCTGCATATTAATATCTAGTTTTATAGGTTTACGTCATGGAGTAACTTCAGCTAAGGAATCTTTGAAAAGGCGGTAGCCGTAAACTTCTAATTGCATACCCAATTTTTGGCATTTGTAAATTTACCAGTGTTTTTATTTTCCTTAATAATATAATTATTATGATAGTGGTTATAAATTTCGGTATTTTATCTCATCTTTTTCTTTCATATTTCAGAGTGAATCATCATTGTTCATGGGATAGTCTAGAATGTCAACTTCAATCATTTGTTGCATCACATGAAACTGAAGAGAAAGTCGAAAAACAAGTGGAAGATTTAGCTGAAATTTTTGCCTAACCCGTTGACTTGAATACATATCCATACTGCTTACACAGATGTTATAACAAATTCATTATTTATATTCTACTTAAATTTATGCATTTTCAATTCTATTCAACTTCTCAATATTCATCTTCATGATTGACATATCGAAAAACCGTTATTTATTCTTTTACAAAAATGAAATTTTGTATGTAAAAATTAGAATTATCATAATGTACGCACCAGTATCATAGATATATAATATTTTTTTTAAATAAAAGTTAAATGAAATCTCATCCGATTGTTCCTTTTTTCTCGATTTATCTTTGAGTTGAAGTAAGCAAATTTGTTATGAAATTATAGCGATTATCTGAAGTTAATAACTTTTAGGGTAGGTGATCCTAAAAGACTTGATTCGGGAAGTTTCAATGATAATGACTGATCTATCAACCAGATAATCCCGGCTGTTGCTGCTACCTTGACGTGGTGGTCGGGTTTGCCTATCGTGATGAACCAATCGAGCTATACTGGCTGGAACAATCGTTCCTCAAGGTCCTACCATGCCGGACAGGTCGGTTGAAGAGCGGTAAGACTAAAAGCAGCAATCCCAAGGTCCGAAGGCGGAGTCGTACTATCGACTGTACAAAGGTGTGATAGCAGTAAGGTGTTTCCTTCAGACAACCAGCATAACAGCGATGCTGCCTTCCAACAAGGAGGGTTGAGGTTAGAAAAGGTCGATCCTAGAAATGCACACCGCCTTATCCCACGGATATCCGTCTCCGGCGGTAAGGTCCCTTGAAGAACGGAGCTAACACAAAAAGGTCGTGCGTGACCGACGTCAAGCAGTTGTCCCTTGGGCTCTGCGGTCACGCTCTCAGGTCATTAAGACCACTTCTAACCCAATTTCCGTTCCAGGTACCTCTGGAAGAACCCTTCCACGATGTGGGCAACTGGGAAGTGATAACTGCCCTCATACCTCTAAAAGCACTCAAGACCACTGTATTCATAATCAATCTCCCTCTTCACTTCCTACTGTTCCTTCTACCTTGACTTTCAACACTAAGCTTCCTCTTTCGGTTTCCTCCTCAAGTGTCACCATGGCCAACGATTCTAGTGCGTGAAACACTGTCCCAGGTCTACCAAAACCCCGCTACAAACTACACATTGGAGCCTTCAACGTACGTACCCTAAGTTAAATCGGTCAACTAGTCTTCTTGGATTAAACCCTAGAATCTCGTACGATTGATGTATGCTGTGTTTCCGAAACACGCATATAGGATCCTAGTATGGTCATTCACTTGACCTCACCTCGCCAAACTGGACAGCCAACGAAATACACCCTCCGTGTATCTGGCGACCCGATGGCTAGTTCTCATGGACTTGCAGGTGTAGCCATTGCATTTAGTTCGAGGACAGTACAAGCACTATTAGTATGAATCCCCTGTTAACAGTCGCCTATGTGCTGTTTTGCTAAGTGGCTCCGGAAGGATAGAGACACACGTTGCCTTTTCGTCGTTTCTGCCTACACTCCCACTGTGTGCAGCCATGATGAAGTGAAAAATGACTTTTACAGAAAGCTCTCTGAGCTTCTTCAGAAAGCCACGCGCTCAGACATAGTACTCGTAGCGGGTGACTTTAATACCCAATGAGGTAGCTTACACCAAACAGAAAGACATTTAGGTGGGTATTTTAGTATTCCGGCTTAGCGAACAGATAATGGTGATCGTTTGTTGCAACTGTTCTCAGACAATCGTTTATTTTTAGCAAGCACTAATTTTAAGCATAAGTGGAGACATCGTCTAGCATGGCGATCACCTGCACCAAACCAACGATGGACTCAAATAGACCATATTGACATCAGTCATCGTTGGAGAGGCTCGATAGAAGATTGTCGGTCGTACTGGAATACATGCTTAGACTGTGATCACTTTAATACGAGCCTGCATTTGTTTGCTCCTCACTGGACCCAATAAATGCACTAAGAAGACATTAGAATTGAACTGAGGGACGAGAAAACCAAATGTAAATTCCAGGAACAACTGAGTTCACATTTAAGCAGTTCTGTAGACGAGACTGACTCAGATTCTACTTGGAATGATATACGAACAGCTGTGGAAACAGCAGTAACATCTATTAGTAATTCAAACCAAAGCGCTCCAAAAACCAATGGATTTCTTCAAAGTCTATTGCACTGTTGGATTCTCGTAAACTAATCCAATCAGGCTCTGAACACGATGAAGAGCGAAAGTGAATCATATCTAGGTAAAACAAAAGTCTAAGGAACGGTCGTGCGCAGTGATGGGCAACGATTGCGAAAGAGATAGAAAAGGTAACGACTGTAGGCAACACCAGGCAACTCTTCAGACTAATAAAAGAAACCGGAATTAAGAAGTCAAGTTTAAGCGAAACAATCTCGGAAAAATATGAAACCCTTATCTGCTCACAACCCTCACTGACAACCAGACAATTATAAGCGGCATAAAACCTGATAGATACGTACGTCGTTTCAAGTTTTCATAGCATATCAGCACAGCTATAATTATCAAGATAAATGCGAGAGTAGCGGACGTCGTAACAACCGCATCAGTGATAATGAAACGATGCAAGATTTAGTCAAAGAAGAAAGAATGAATTTTTAAAATAAAAAGCACTAGATAATTTTAAAGCTCGCGATATAAGGAAATACTGAGACCGAATAAATCATTTCTTCTGCAATCGATTGTGAGCCATGACACTCAATGTTTCTAAATGCCCTGGTACGGCCGAGAGGACGGAGAGTCAGCTCTCCCTATCCAAATGCTCTCACATAGCCACGCATACAACCACTGATACAAAAGTCATATTCACTGCCTTCTCGCACCACGGGTGTTGTTTGCGAAATCGAGAGGACAAAAAGCGAATGTCTGGCGCCTTAACCGGGTTGGTGAACACGGAAAGTCCACCTAGGGGAGTTGGAAAACTCTGATTACAAATTAATGCTCTATAGGCTTGAGCATCATACCATTCCGACCCACTGAGTACTTTTCTAGGTCTTGGAGAAGAAACATTAGAGGTAGAAGAAGTAATGTCATCATTTGTATCACTATACTTTTCCATAGATGAATTAAGACTTTGTAATGGTGATCGTATATGTTTATCTGCACAGGCCATTTTGGGTGAGGAGGATTTATAAAGCGCATCGTTAAATTCACGTTTTTGTTGAACCTTTATAGAAATTTTCATTTTTTTGGAAGAAAAATAATTTGGAACATATAAGACAGTGAAACAAAAAGATTGAAGTTTACATTAACAATTATGTTAAAAATCCACACAACATGCAGCTTGAATGACAATAGTAGAAATGAACTATTGTTTATTATTTACCAATGTTTAAACATTGTATATTGTAGTATGCTTCATATGTCTACAAATGACATTTTTGTGGACTTAGTAATGGCACCCAAATGCCCTGGTACGGCCAAGAGGACGGAGAGTCAGCTCTCCCTATCCAAATGCTCTCACATAGCCACGCATACAACCACTGACACGAAAGTCATACTCACTGCCTTCTCGCACCACGGGTGTTGTTTGCGAAATCGAGAGGACAAAAAGCGAATGTCTGGCGCCTTAACCGGGTTGGTGAACACGGAAAGTCCACCTAGGGGAGTTGGAAAACTCCGATTCCAAATCAATGGTGCAAATGGGCTCCAGTATCCTAAGGGAACAAATGGCGTATGAATCAATCGTTGGTCACCGGCCACCATGAGACTGCATCTCCTTACGAGCCACACTGCTTTGTGGATCAGACCTTTAGGTCAAAGGCTTTGTGTGTGGCCCCCTAAAGAAAACCACTTGCTTTGGTTTGGGCACCCGGGTAGTATCACAACCCTCAAACAAATCAAAGGAGATTTGTGTGGCGCATATTTATCTGGTGCCCCTTTGTACCAATATTTATGTGTTCAAATAAATAGATAAACAAATAATGAATGAAACAATCAAAGTTTGAACTTTACATTACATTAGAAAATATGGCTAATATAATTCGATTATTTCCTATGCGAGACTACACTACTTATGAGTAGCTTAAGAAAGCCTTCACAAATATCCCACTTAAATGAGGCCGCTATCACTGAAGTGAACAAGAACCTCTTACAGTTCTGTTGAGTGGGTTTTATGATGACTGGATTTATTTATAAATAATATTCGCCACTGGCGAGGACTGTACATAGTCTTCGTCCAAGAATAGAACTCCTCAGCAGTGAGCACACGAATCTACTCAGGAACCATCGGATCTTGAGGAGAACACCTGACCAATAGAACCACTGAGTCGGCGTCTAGTGGTACAATTTCAACCGATCTGCAATATAACACGACGACCAGCCGATGAGTTTAGTGAAAGTTGTTTCAGTCCCGACATTTTTGGACTCAGGAATTAATGAGATATCATTGGGTTCGATTTTTGAAGGAGTGTGGACTATTTAATAGGTTCCCTGTTTTTCAATAATTGTCTAAGAAGTTAGCACATGATATGAAAAAGATCCCAACTATTAACCCGTGTGATAATTTCAAATAGTTCGAACTTGAAATATCGTATGGGAAACAAATGCTTTTTATAAATGATTATTAATATGAAAAATTTTCATTCCTTACTGATAAGAAGTTGCTGAATTGAAAATCAACATTTTAGGTAAAAATGTTTCTAATTTATGCTGCTATGTGATCGTAGCAACGTTATTAGACAATCTACTTTGTTGTTCAGTCAATCAACACAAAAAAGGTAATTGTTTTTCCATTGTATACGAAGTGAACTAATTTCACTAAATATAAATTCTTCACAAACTCAGGATAAACGTTGGTCTCCAATATTCCACACAACTCAGTGAGATGTAAACTTTAAAGAAGATATAAAACATAGTTGTTCTTCATTCGTACATTATCAGTGAGGATTTATTCCCATTGTCGTACGATATTCACTTGGTGATCTAACTTACATGAATAACCTACGAACTATTTATTAGGAATTGTGATTGCAGTGTAACCACAGTAAGAGATAAGTTTATTTCATTACTAAAATGATAAATGTATAGACAAGAATCAAATTTATGACTACTGTAGTATTACAGAATTAGTAAAACAAAGTGTTAACCTCTCACCTCCCATCTTTGTATAAGCTTATCCAATAGACTATAGGATGGTAGAAAACACAATACACCACCAGGTACTAAACGGCATGCATTGACAACAACTGCACCAATTTCATCTTGAAATGTATAGGTATTCTGGTGCTGATAGGTAGCACAAAGTCGTGTACCGTTTGGACCATGTGATAATGTTGTTACTAACAGACGAGTATTCGAAATGACATGATTTGCTTCTAAACGTAATGGAAATTGTACATTGAGTTCAGCTTCAAGTGAATCCAATGGTGATAGAGTACCACTCATCAGGATTACACAATGCGCCATTGATGCTAACTGTGAAAACACTACAGATGGATTTAAACACCAGAAATTTAAGGACAATTGTTTGTTTTCTACAAAATGAGGCTGCAAAGTAGGGAAAACGAAGAAAAGAATTCGGTAAAGCCACTTTTCAAAATTGGTGCAATAATAACAGATCAACAATAAGTTTGTGTCATGTGTGGAGTCCATCTAGTGAACGTATTAAGAAGTGAAGGACTACCGAACAGTTGTCTTGGCTTCAACAGAGGCTCCTCAGTAATGGGTATTGCAGACATCGAACGGGTAAAACTTAATAGTAAACAAGTTCCTGTCAATCCACTAAGTCGAAATCCAACTATTGACACATTTCCAACTGCAGTACATTCACGATACTGCCCGATATTCGTATGTGATGGGATCGAACTCCCAGATGAACACAGGGGAAATAATCTACTCTGATAAGAAGTAATATTCATATCTGTCAGTTTTATTCATCCTATCCATCTTTAAGAACGAGCTGAAACAAAAATTCATCCAGTGTTCAACTTAAACAAATATCACCCAGTGGAAATGAACGTGATGAAAGGTGGCAAAAGTCCGTACTCCCTCCGTATGACAAGGGAGTTTCAAGTAAACTGAGTGTGATAGCAGACACTAAACACCTAAACCAGGATACGGAAAGTTTACCTAGGAAACTGCAAAATCACGTTTTTAAACTGATATAGTATAAGGTTTCCAGAACTATGAGAAAAACAATTGTGTTCAAACTGATTCTGATGGCTAGTTACTATGAGGTTGCATCACCTAACCCTAACCAAAGTGCCTTGTTCATTAGATCCCTAAGCTGAAGGGATGGGGAGTGATCTTCTAATAACAATAACTGCTTTAATTTAGGCACACATGCTCTCTAACAAACCTAACCAGTGAAGGTAATGCACTGATATATTTGAGGAAAGCATAATCAAAATGTTTACAGTGCTATTTTAATATATTTAACTATTATTACATGCTTTCCAGGGAACCCGAACATTCAACTACACTTCGTTGTGTAAATTATGGAATACCATGAATATTGCATTTGTGACTATATTTCACTCACTATTAAACACTTTTCCTTAAAATTCAGTAACAAAGTTATTTTTCCATGAATAATCATAACACAAAAATATATTGAATACTTAGTCAACCACATATCCAGATGACAAGTCTAATATGGAACGAAATGTACGTCCTGGATTTCACTTCTAGCCACATACTAATATACCATACGCCGATTATTTAAGAAATCACTAGAATTGCCGGTCTCTCTTCGGTGAGGTCATGTATGCGTCTGATGAAAATCTACGTATAAACCATGCTCATCATTTATATCCCTAAACATAAAAGCACACAAAAATATTTTAAATACTTTCACGTGTTTCTTGCTAATCCATGCATCCATTTTCGATTCAGTGGACTTCTTATGATCTGTAATTGATTCCTTAGTCAGTTGCTTCTCATATCCCATTGTTTCGACAAGAACCACGCGGTAATCTGACAAATGGCACATATTGTCCCTAAATAGAAAAATATTGCTAGTGTAAAATGGACAATCGGATATCTTGTAGCGTAAATAGATCAATATTAGTTAAGTACATAGAACGTGACTATTGATTAGGAATGATTGGAGAAGTTCTCCAGTTAGAACGGCTTGAAAAAGAGACAGAGCAAAATCATGGGGATCTTTGAAAATACACAATATGTTGTAAACCACCAACGTAGATGATTTCTGCCGAATGATTGAGGGCTTATTCAAGTTAGACGTGAATGGTGTGACGACCCAGCTAACTTCAAAGTTACACCTCGTGGTCAGTATCTAACGTGGATTACACCCTCAACGTATTAAAGTACTATGGTTGCTTTGAACACTGTATAACACAAAGGGAGTGATTACGTAAATATATTAGAATGAGTACAGAGATGTTAGTGAGACCACCACCACATGGGCCATTCCATGGGGTATGATCAACTGATGCGCGTTTGTTGTCCTTCACTTTGAGAGGGATCGATGATCTGCTCAGTATTCAGTGACCTAACTGCCGGATGATTTGGCTAGGGCTCAGTGGCATTTCACTGCCACTACAATGTGTACAATCAGATGCACATGACTTCTAACTAAAATCAAGGTTCTTCATTCTAGAGGTTCAATGACCTGAGGGCGCCTTCCGAAAACTACCAGATGCAGCTGCTAGCTCCATCTCTGTTATCGCTTCCAATTACTACACATTACGGTATGTACATGAACTTCATGATAATTTTCACATAAAGGACCAACAGATATAACCATCAACGGATCTGATAAAGAGAATATTAACGAGATTTACAAAATACGACGAACTGATTTTGAATTTTTCTAGAAAAAACTTAATAAATGTATACCTAACTTGTGAAGAAAGTGAATGTATTGTGTTTACTTCAAGAATTGAAGGTCATGTGTTACATTCTTTGTAAGGTTGTGGGTGTATACTGCTGGAAAAGCTACAAACTATAAAGTAACAGCTTTTTCACGGAGTTCCCTGGATTAGAAACACTCTACTTGAGTTAAATTTGTGTGTCTACATGGTTGCACTGTTGAGTTGCAAACGTAAGCAAGACTGTACAGTGTTTCTAATGGCTTTTCCCAGTTAATCTCTGTCGGTCAATCACTGACGTAATTCCTGGTAACAAATGTTTATCAGTCCACATCACTATACCTTAATTTAGCACATAGTGGAATTAAAAATATGAGGAATATTAAGTGAGAAATATAATATCGAGAACAATCGAAATCGCGACTTGAGAAATACATTGGGAAGTGAGAAAAAAGTGAGTGAAGTATAAACAGGTAAGAACGACAGTTAATTGAAGATTTAAAGAGAGACAAAGAGAGACGAACTTCTGCGTTTGTTCTATATTGATAACATATGAAATATAGCTGATCAATTTTTCGTATTGTAGGCTCTGAGCATAAAAAATAGTAAACATTCACTGTATTTCTGCCCTTAGATTACGTTATTTATAAAAGAAGATTGTACTAAAGTTCTTTTTTAATCATTCTTAATATCACACTGAAGTATTTAATGCAAAACGTTTTAATCTGACCAATAAACTTCGAGATTAGTTTTTGATTAAACGATCAAAATTTTATTTCTTGGACGTTAATTGGCTCCGAATTATGCCGGATTCATACATAACAGACTCGCATGGATAACTTCGATGTAGTGCTGTCTAACATACATGCAATAACATTTAGTGGATGAACTTAAAGACTTATGAAAACTGTTGTCATGTGTATTGTTGAGGCAAATGAACGTTACAGATAACTTCAACCCAATATTAACTCCTTGAAATGATACTTCAACAAAGTCTACATTTCCAAGTGGTGATAATATAATATTATCATAATTTTTCACTTTTATCTTTCATTAAAAATTGTTACTATTCATGTGTAAAATAATCCTGATTACTTTTCTTGTTTTATTTAGCCTAATAATATGCCAATATAAATATTGTACACTTTGACTAAACTTATATGGAAGTTCACACGTACACAATCCAGTATGTTTGTCATTTTTGATCATTTTAGTAAATTTTTTTATTTAGAAAAAAAATTTTTTGATCATAAAATTTTTATTTCGCGATATTCACAAAAAAATTTCTACCATTTTTGTTTGTAAATTTGGAATGATGTTCAAATCAAATGATACTCTATATCTTCACATTCATACTTCTTGATAGGGATTAAATCGTAGTGGTTTTTCTAATGAAATAGGTTTATTAACTCAATGTTGGGTCACATTATTTGTGTAAGTACTTATGAAATTCCCGAGCTAGATAAACCGAATTGAAGACTGATCAACATGAGATCTGGTTTTCCTTACATGATCACTGGTAGTGACCAGAAAACAAAATGTCATATTGAATGAATCCATGGAATAATGAAGATCTTGTATACGAACGTTGGATTCTGAGGTGAGACAGCATTAAGGATCTTAGAAAATCGATCAACTGGAAATTTGAAAAGGACCATTTATTCAACTGAACTATGAATTGAATTATCCAGTTAGCTGTGATTCATAGGTGTGTCAAGGATAAAATTCGGCTTTGAACTAACTCAATATGTATCTCCACTTCACTTGCCTTTAAGGAGCCCTCCATGTTGTCCTCACAATGCATGCTCTTTTCAAACGTATAGTAGATCGCTGCCAAACGTGGTTATGTGAAGGCGAATTATAATCAATCCGTTACTCTATTCTTCAACATATCATCAAACCTGGTCATCTATATTCACTAGAATCTCTATCCCAATTATTGATAAACTTAAATTAACCAACTCTAGATGAAGTTGTTGAAGATATTTTTCAACAGCGGAGTCTTCAATAATTTACTTATATAAACTTGATCTCTATATCTGGAGACCGTATACTCTATCGCTTGTTTCCCAGAGATCCTCTGTAGTTATTAAATGTTATTTTTGATACATGTTCATCTGTTTTGCATATTTATCAAGTGAACAACTATCTTTTACAGATACACCTTTCATTTACTTACTTACTTACGCCTGTTACCCCTCGTCGAGGAGCATAGGCCTCTCATCAGCATTCTCCATCCAACTCTGTCCTGAGCCTTTCTTTTCCAGTTCTTTCCAGTTGTTATTCATCCTTTTCATATGTGCTTCTATTCCCCGACGTAATGTGTTCTTTGGCCTTCCTCTTTTCCACTTCCCTTCCGGATTCCAAGTGAGGGATTGCCTTGTAATGCACATTGTAAATATCCTTAATGTATGTCCGATCCACTTCCAACGTCTTTTCCTCTAATTGATTCTGAGAAGTCCACTGTATTCCGTATTTCCCCTCAGATGTCAAAGTCTTCATAATCCAGTCAATCACCAGAAGGAAGAGGAATGGGGAGAGTAGACAGCCTTGTCTGACTCCGGTCCTTACTGGAAATGCATCTGTCAGCTGTCCTCCATGCACCGCTTTGCACTGTAGTCCATCGTATGAGTTTTGGATAATGCTGACAATCTTTTCTGGAACTCCCATAGTGTTGAAGAAGTTTCCATAATGTTCTCCTGTCCACGCTGTCAAGCGCCTTCTCATAGTCAATGAAGTTGACATATAGTGATGAGTTCCACTCAACTGATTGTTCAACGATGATCCGTAGTGTCGCAATGTGGTCTGTGCACGACCGATCCTTACGGAATCCAGCCTGATGATCCCTAAGTTCGGCGTCTACTGCGTCTTTCATTCGATTCAACAGCACTCTGTTGAAAACTTCCCCTGGTACTGATAACAAACTGATGCCTCTGTAATTCTCACATTTGCTCAGATCTCCCTTCTTCGGTATCTTGATGAGGTATCCTTCTTTCCAGTCCGTTGGCACTTTTTCTTGCCCCCAAATCTTCTTGAATAGAAGGTGAAGCATGTTTGCAGTTACTTCAGTATCTAACTTCAATGCCTCAGCTGGTATATTGTCAGGTCCTGCCGCCTTCCCACTTTTGATTTGTCTGATGGCCACCTTGACTTCTTCCATCGTTGGTGGAGTGATATCCATAGGAAGGTCAGTGTGTGCTGCTCCGATGTTCGGTGGATTCAATGGAGCTGGTCTATTCAGCAGTTCCTCGAAGTATCCTACCCATATTTTCCTCTGTTCTTGAACCTTTGTGATTGCCTTTCCTTCTTTGTCCTTGACTGGTCTTTCCGATTTGTTATATCTCCCTGCCAATTTCTTGGTTGTATAATATAGTTGTCTCATATTCTCTTCTCTTGCAGCTTTTTCCGCCATCGTTGCTAGTTCTCCCATGTATTTCCGCTTGTCGGCTTTAATGCTTTTCTTCACTTCCCTGTTTGCTTCTGCGTAGTCTGCTTGTGCTTTGACTTTCTCTGCTCGTGTTCGGCTGTTGTTAATTGCTAGTTTTTTGTTCTTCCTTTCTTGAATTTTGTCCAGGGTTCCCATAGAGATCCATTCCTTGTGATGATGCTTCTTAGGACCAAGAACCTCCTGACACGTTGAAGTTAGGGCTTCTTTTATCCCTTTCCAGTTGTCCTCCATTGTAGTTTCTTGTTCTTTCAGAAGATCCTGTAGAGCCTGGAACCTGTTGTTGAGAGTTATCTCGAATTCATGGAGCTTGTCAGTATCTCGAAGGAAGGCTGTATTGAACCTTTGTAATGCTGTCCAGTGTTTCTTTAGCTTCAGTCTCATCTTGGCCACAACCAGGTGGTGATCTGAAGCTATGTCAGCTCGTCTCCGGGTTCTCACATCTTCTAGTGTCCTTCGGAATTTTTTGTTGATACAGATGTGATCTATCTGGTTCTCTGTGGTATGGTCCGGTGAGATCCATGTAGCTTTGTGTATGCGCTTGTGTGGGAATATTGTGTCGCCTATAACCAATTTGTTGAATGAGCATGGATTTGCAAGTCTCTCACCATTTTCATTTCTTTCTCCCAGTCCATGTCGTCCCATGACGTCTTCGTATCCAGTGTTGTCCATTCCAACCTTAGCATTGAAATCTCCCATCAGAGTGGTCAGGTC